ATAGTTATATACAATGATGGTAAACACAATATAGTTACTTGTGATCAAACGAATTAGGGCATGTAATTAGGGGAATCTAGGGTTGGTATGGGTCCTAATGTTGTATAACGATGNCAGAGAGTAATATAACAAACAAATTAAGGGTAATATCGACATTTCAAAGCTGAAACGCAGTGTGAGGCCGCCACCTCAGCTTTTTCACCTCACAATTATAAGTATAGATTATGAACTTTCATATATCCTCTGTCCTACATAAACAATGTTTCCCTGAATCGAAAAGAGTATAAGAATAAAATCCAGCAATGGTAACTCAAAAGAGAATATTCATGTGTTGCTTGTTTCTTTTTTACCTGCATAACTTTTGCGATGTTTCCGCCATGAGGAAGAAAGAAGATCTATTGGTGCATGGCAAGAACTTACCTTTTTGTGTCAATGTCTCTTTTGTCACCAAACGATGGATCACATTAGCGAGTGGATCCAGTGCTTGTGAGCCACCGAACGGTTAACTTCATGCGATATATTGATGCATTACTCGGTGCTACAAAGACCTTTACAACCTTGAATACAAAAAGACTCAAACTTTTAAATTTCCATCAAACTAACCATACAAATTAAATTTTAGTTTCTAATGCGAATTTCAAGACAAAAATCTAGCAAATCTAGGCTCTGTATAGCTAATGTTTAGTCTACATGTGAGGCATGAGGTTGGGCCAATCAAGTTTGTGCTATGATTCCATCGAACTCTGAGCCTAATCAAGTGAGAGTTTGCTAATAGCAATATTATAACATACATAGCACTTGCACACATAAACCTACGCCAAAGAAGTAATTGCCGGTCCTTTGCTTTTGCTTAGTATCAAATTAGCACCAGACAAAGTGAATTATTCATAGAAAAACTAATAATCAAACTGAATCAAAACCTTGTAAAGAGATTAACCTGAATTTTAGTGGACAAAATAGGAGACAAAACAATCAAATTGATTTAGTAACTCATCCATCCTATTCCTCAAGCATCCAATCTCAACCTCACTTACGAAATTGTAGCTTAATACACAAGTAAATTCTTCATGTGAGTGATCAAATCTTCGTGTAATGGCGATAAGACCACTCTATCAAACACAAGATCATAAATTAAAAGTATAAAACTCAAAACAAACAAATTGGTTATTCAATAAAAATAATAAAAAACGTATTCAAGAGTCCATGGATCTCTGAAAAAACGAACCATAAGAGCACCATGTAAACAAATAAGAACAAAAGCAAACTTTCCAGAACAGCTAGAAAATTAAAAAAAAAACCTATTGGTGAAGAATTTACCGTAGTAGAAGCTCTGCAAACATGCCATATATAAGAACATGATCCAATCACGTACCAGAGCTTTAATCTTTGTACATGTTATTCTCTTCGTCACTAACCAGAATTTTTTTTTGTATTGATCAGCAAAAGGAATAAAAAATATATACCAATTATTGATCAACAAAGGATACAAAAAGGATATAAACCAATGATTATGTTCGTTAATCATATGATTCTCTCGCTCTTATCCAACTCTGCTTGCTCTTGCTCTCTCTCTATTTTATATATGACCTCTTAAATAATGCAATCCATAGTATTAAATTCGACAATACAAACAAAAAAAGATACAATATTAAAATACATACCTAAAATCATGATGAGCCTAATTATAGAACGAACCAGTTTACGAAATTGAATACGAACCTATGCTAGACAAAAGAAAAAACAATAACATTAGATCAATAGTATATCGTATATTGAATAACATAAATTGATAAACTGAAGAATTAAATATACTGTAGTAATTATAGGATGGATGATTCTGCACAAAAACAACAAACAAACAATTAGTAAAAGCGTAAAAAAAAAAAAAAGGTGAGAAACACATGTAAACAATATCAGACCTAAAAATATATAACAAAACGAAAACAAAAGATACTACGGAGCTACTGAACACACACATAGAAGAAACGAATCGATGAACAATAGAACAATCTAATCGATGAATCAATGAAACCAAAGCCTTTGAGACTCTCCCACAAAAAGAAAACAAAGCGAAAAAATTCAAAGGAAAATATTTTTTCACATAATCAATTTATAGTTTAAGGGAAAGAAAATATATGGAAGAACGTGCAGCTATGTCCATGCGTAACAAAAGTGTAAAATATCATCAAAAACCTTTGATCTCCTCCGGTATAAGACGACAAAGTCTTCACTTTGCGCATTATATAATCAAAAAGAGCTTCAGATGGTTCGACAACCATACACCAGAGTTGAGTCTCTCGGAATGCTTCAAGTTTGCACAAAACTTAGAGCACTTAAACAGATCCTCAATATTCTTTACCACAATAGTATCAACATCAAGATACACAACTGCAATAAAAAAAAAAAAAAGATCTTGAGCTTTGTATAAACACCCCAGAACCTTGCCGGATGAACTTGGTTTGGATTTGCCAGTAAACTAATCTTCTCTACTTTCCATCCATCAGCCTGTAAAAATCAAAAATGCAACAAACAAACAAACATATTTAAATAAAGACAAGATTCAAACCTCAAACTCGTTGTAATATACACTCGATAGAAAAAGGGAAACCTTGAGTAGGTTTCTTATAGTAATCGGAGACACCATCAGAGACCAAAGCGACCATAGTTTTGTTGGATCCAGTGTCACAAATCGATTTACCCAATACCCTAACTCCCAATAAGAACTCATCACCATACAAAAGTGTCAGATAAGCTTGCAAGTAGACGATGGAATCATCACCATAAACTGACTGTAAGATGGAAGACATATATTAGGATCGATGAAAAAAGCAAGATTGTGACCAAACCCTAAAAC